GAGAATGAACCTGGTCTCCGAGTGATTCCCCCGTATGGCCCAGTAGAGCTTCACCCACTACCAGAGCTCACTCACTACCCATCACTCTGGCTAATTTGACAAGCAGCGCCCTCTGGAGGTGCTTTACAGAACTGGCAGCACCTTAACCCACAGAAACACAAAGTGGGGGTGATAATTAGGTGCCGCGTGCTCCCTTCTGCCACAGGGTCACCGGCACGGGGAACTGAGTCAAGAGGAAAGGAAAAGGGTTTAAGAAAAAGATGCCCCAGAGCAGAAAGCCCAGCTGCAAGGCGGACTCACCAGCACCATGATGGTTGCGATCAAACGCGTGGGCTCCACCATTCTCTTCAGCTGTTTCATGGGCCCCATGAGGAAGACAGTGCTGCGGACACACACAAAAGCCATCAGCCCAGAACAGTCCACACCGGGCACCGCTGCCTCCCCTCCGCCCCCGGGGCGACCGCAACCATGGCAACGACGGCCGTGATGCCTAACGTTTGAAAGCTCTTCCTGTGTGCCCAGCACTGCGCCCAAGGGCCTTGTGTGCACTGTCCTCATTTAATGCATCAACACGAACGGGCTGATCACAGGGACACGTACCAGACATTTCTACCAGATGAAGAAACTGCAGCCCAGGATGGCTGGGCCCATCCACGCCCCCAGCTAGTAAACGGCGGAGAGGCTGTAGGTGCAGGCAGGGCTGGCTCTGGGGCCACATTGCTCTCCGTGGGGGACAGGACCCTCTCTGAGAGGTGCCACCTTGCCGCCGTTACAGTCCACCCATGGGAATGAACCGACCAACCAGGAACACTCAAGTAATTTGAACATGTGTACGCCATAAGCGTCCACAGATGCAAGCGGTGGACCTTTTATAATTAAATTCAAAATATTGTGGCAGTTCAGCGGTTAAGAAGGAAAAGCCGCATCTTACAGGCTTAGGTTATCTGTGTTAACAAGGAGAGCGGGTCATTTTCCTTCCTACTCTCCAGAGAATGCTGCTGCTGATGGGAACACCTCGGAATCGCTGAATGTTCGCTAGACGCCAGCTACCACACACGTGACCTCGTTTCCTTCCCTAACAGCTCTGGGAGTCGGGTGTTAGTACAGTTTTGCAGAGATGAGAAAATGAGGCTCAGAAAGGTTAACTGACTTACCCAAGGCCACACAGCTGGGAGCCCAGGGAGCTGTCGTTCAAACCCACATCTTCTAGGTTCCAAAGTGCCGAAAGGCACCCCGTGTGCGAATGGAGCCTGCCTGGTGGCAGGCGAGGGAGAGCGGGCCTCATGCCTACCACACCAGGGCCAGAGCCAGCCTCATTTCCTGACTCCACAGCAGTGCCCATGTGGCATCGCCTGAGGGGTGGCCTGTTATAGCCAGGCTTTAACACGCCGTCAGCAGATAGCATTCACCACTGAGTGTTCAGTAAAAACAGACATTTCAAGCATAAGTCCACCTCTCTTTGAAATGCCATTTAGTTTCCGTGGAATTCAAGGCTGTGCTCGTGGGTCGATTATTTAGCCAACACTGAACAAGAAGCAATAGCCAAGGCTGGCCTTCAAAGTTAAATGCAGCAAATACACAAACACCTAAGACTAGAGGCAAAGCCACAAGCTCCTAGACACAGCCTGGAAATAACAACTCGCTCCCCGGAGGGTCTCCCTACACAATGCTGGAGGGCTGGTCCCTCTGGGATTTTCTAACAGTTCTCCTGGACAAAACAACAGGCCTGTAGCTTTTGCTCAGTAGACTCTGCATTATAACCTATGCTGTCTGCCCAAAGCACAACTCCCCAGAAGTGAGCATGCGAGGGCTTTAGAGGCACAAGGAGACACATGCGCGGCAGCATTCAATAAACAAAGCTTTAAGGAGGTGGCCAGAGGCAGGCACAATTATTTGTCAGTGTTCCAGCTGGAAACAGCCGGTTTAGGGATGATTAGGGACAAGCAGCCAGGAGGCTTACGTGCCGAGGCAGTTAACAAAGCGCCATGTGCGCCATCATGTAAATACACGCGGGCATGCAGAGCCCGGTGAAAGGGGGGTGCTGATCTAGAGGGGAGGAGGCATCTCTTAGAAGAGGTGACGTTGGAGCCAGGTCTAGCGAGTATCCACCCAATTGCCGGGGGAGGGGGGGGGACATGGAGAGGAGCTGCATGGGGGCGGCGTCCCATGCAGAGGCGGCGGCCTGAGCAGAGGCTCGGAGATGTTCGGGAAAGGCCGAGGGTCAGCCTGGCTGGGTGCAGGGGGCGAGGGGAGGGGTAGAGGCAGCCCTCGAGGGCCTGGCCCACATGCAGCTGATGGGCTTGGACTCCACCTGCAGAAAGGGACCCGGAACCACCGGGAAGCTCAGTGGGCAGTGAGTGGCCGGTAGGGGGCGATGGAGGAGGCAGAGGACAGGACAACGGACTCCTGCAGCGTCAGGTGAGCCAAGGGCAGAGTGAGAGCAGCTGGTGCGCCACCTGCTCCAGTAAGCCCTCCCTGGTCCCTGGTCGGGTCAGGCCAGGTCAGCGACCTCCCTGAGCGTCTCTCTCCACAGCATATTCTGTATCAGTTTCTGTGTCTGCCTGGCCAGCCAGTGAGCTCCATCGTGGCAGGAACCGAGCCACACTGGTCTGTGAATGCTCACAGCCCAGCAGGGTAGGATCAAGGCTCCTCGTATGAGGGACAATGGCCACAGGGACAAAGGGACGGAGCCTCAATGATGGGGAAGGGGTGGGCCCCCGGGATTCTGGGGAAGGCGAGGAAAGGGGACAGAGTCGGGCCGCGCTCCCCCTGGCGGGAGGCAGGACTGGGGTTGTCAGCCCGTGGGTGTGGTTGAGATGTCAGAGTGAGCAAACTTGACCTGGACAGTCTGTGCAGCCACAGCACATGGCACGGGCTGAGGCCCTGCCCGCACGAGCAGGTCTGACAGGGTCTGGCTCTGAGTAACAAGTTTCACGTGTAGTGAAATCACGGCCTCGGCGCTGGCGGCAGGAAGACAAGGACAGCACAGAGGGCTGTGTCGTAACCTCACAGACACCACGCAGGGCTCTGCGCCACGTCCCCTCGCGTGTGAAGTCCCAGGATCACATGCTCCTGTCTCCCCCAGGGTATTTCCAAGGTAAACTTTGAAATATAATCGTATCCGGAAGGGACAGGACATGGAGGATGTGCTGTGACCGCCTCTTTCCTTCCCCACCCTCACAACCACGGAGGCACCTCCTCAGCGCCCGCGCAGGCACAGCCCTCTCCCATCTAGTGACTGGCGGAGGGAGATTAAAAACTTACCTCCCGATCGAAGCGATGTTACCAAAGGTATAAAACACGGCGAAGAGGTACAGCCCCTTCCTCGGCACCCAGAGCAGAAACGTGCCCTGCAAGACCAAGCAGAGGTGCCTGCATCTGTGCCACAGCCACAACCAGGGCCCCCAAGAAACCTGCCCCCCCAGTCCCCTCCCGCCCCACCCTCCTTCGCTCCTCTTACCCATGCATTTCTGTGAAAAGAACAGAGAAAAGGAGGTGGGTGACCCAGAAAGACCAAGCTTAGGAGGGCAGGGGCAAAGGCAATGGGGGGGGGGGTTCACCAGCAGAGAGCAGAGAATTCCTGCAACAAAACACGCAATGAAGCCTTTGATTCTGGTATTCCAGCTCAGTGAGGATGTGTCAGCCACCTGCAGTTTGAAAAACAGGTCACATACAGCACCCGAGACAAAGGACGCCCGCAGTTAGGTTAGTGTGTGACTCTGCATGGAGGGCGGCGGGAGCACAGAATCCCACACGCTCGTAGCTGCAGAGCCCGAGTCGTGGGACCAGCTCCTTCTCCATCCACGAGCCTCCTGTCCTGCAGCGGTGAGAGGCCAGACACCTCCCGAAGTGGGGGCTCTGTCTCCAGCCCCACCCACTTCCAACAGCAAGCAGGACGGCAGGCCCGCAGGGAGCCGAGCCTCCCGGCAGCCCGGGCAGGCCCAGGCCCACACGGGAAAGGCATGCGCCCTGCCAGGCGGGGCCAGGAGACGGCACCCAGCGGCTGTGTCCACCGGGCATCATCTCCTGCGTCCACTCAAGCTCAGCAGTTGCTGCTCCGCCAGCACCTCTGAGACTTGGGGGGCAAGGCTCCCCTCCTCAGGACGCTCATTAAGTCATTTATGCTGTCAGTGTTGTTGTCCAGGGCTGGCACCAGTCATGTCCCTCAAGTGGGAGGCAGAGCCTAGTTAATTAGTTACTCGCTGCCCATCCTGACTCTCTGCCACCAAGATTAATCCCTCCCAGGAGCAAAGTTCAGAGGAGGCCACGGTTTCCAGAACAACTCTGCCACAACAGGGAGCCGGGAGTAGCTCCCCAGGGTTTTCTCCCTGTGCCAAAGGCATCAGCCAAGTGATCTTCCTAGTCTGTCCACCTGACAAGTGGCCATGGCAGCTCCAAGCTGGCACAGGCAGCTGCCACTGAGACCAAAGGCCTGGCCTGCACAGCCAAGGCAGGCGGCCGGGCCGGGTCTATGCACCCAGGATCGAGCGTGTGGCCGCACAGTCTCCATCTGGCAACGCAGTGGAAGCTGCTGACCACGCTGCCACCGGCTGATGGAGGAAGGGAGGTGGTGGCAGAGGCTGCCCAGGTCACTGGACTGGCAACTCCCTCGGCCTTGGGTGTTCCCAGCTCAGGACCTGTTTCCAACCCTGTCTCCAGCTTCCCGTCCAACCTGACGCTGGAGGAGAACCAGTGGCTCCCCCAGGTGTGGCAGGCCTTGCTCCGGAATGGTTCCCTCCGCCCAGGACACAGGTATTTAGGGCAGGTTATTACAGGGGTCCTGCTTCCCCATGTGTTCACACGCACTGAAAGTGAGCTAATGACACTGCAATACCACACACACACACACACACGTAGCATCTGCAAGAGTGTGTGGCAACACATGACCCTGCGCGGAGAGGCGCGCTCAGGGCTGGTAACGTGCAGTGGGAGAAGGGCGTTAGGACAGACGCCACCTGGTGCAATGACAGGAAAACCTCTCCTCCCAAATGAGTCAGATGATGCTCTGCTATCCGGGTGCACCGGCGCCCAGACACCAGGCGAGACCCCCTCTGACTAACTTGCCCAACTCCCACCAAGAACAGAATAAAATCAAAAGCCACAATTCCTCCTACTCATGCAAGCACCAAAGAACTTACCTTGCCAAAGTGGAAAATAACATCGGGCTGCGTGTGGGAGAGAAGTGTGGTACAGGGTTGGGCTAGACCGGTTACCGGAATACTGTTTGCACCAACAGGGATATTTTATTTTATTTTTTAATATTTTTATTGATTTCAGAGAGGAAGGGAGAAGGAGAGCTAGATAGAAACATCAATGATGAGAGAGAATCATTGATCAGCTGCCTCCTGCACGCCCCTCCACTGGGGATGGCTCCCTGAGCGAGAATCGGACCGTGACCTCCTGGTTCATAGGTCAACGCTCAACCACTGAGCCATACCAGCCGGGCCAACAGGGATATTTTAAAAGATTCAAACTTTTCTTTCTCTTTTTATTTTTTTAAAATATATTTTATTGATTTTTTTTTACAGAGAGGAAGGGAGGGAGATAGTCAGAAACATCAATGAGAGAGAAACATTGATCAGCTGCCTCCTGCACACCCCCCACTGGGGATGTGCCCGCAAGCAAGGTACATGCCCTTGGCCGGAATCGAACCTGGGACCTTTCAGTCCGAAGGCCGACGCTCTATCCTCTTAGCCAAACCAGTCAGGGCTCTTTCTTTTCTTAAAGAGGATAAACCATAAGGTTAAGTATCAAACTTGAATTGACCCTGGCATGGAGGATATGAAATGGTCTCAGCAGCCGGCCGGCGAGATCCCAGCCCTTGTGGAAATCAAAAGCACTGGCACCGGGAGGCAGCCTGCTTTCCACCGTCAGAAGGAAAGTGATACGTTGGTTCGACAAGTCTCTCAACCTGAATCCCATCCAAATGCCAGCCTGCTTACCACAGGGGGCATAACTTTTCACCAGTTTTCCACTCTGTGTGGCTACAAGCTCTTGGTCAAGGGCAGGAGGAAGCCGCAGCCCACTTCTTCTAACTGGACTCAGGGAAAGCTAAACACTTTTATGAAAATAGACTCAGGTGGTGTAAAATGTCTCTCTGAACTCACGGTTGCTGGGAACTGGGCGAACACTTTTGGAAATCAGAGCCGCTAAAGCAGTACCCGGATAGAATTTGGAGGCAGTCAGTCACGCACCGTCTGGCTGGCAGGTTCGCACAAAGGTGCCTTTGACTCCGGGATGTGGACAGGAGAGCAGCTCTTGCCAAAAAGAAGTAAAACTAAGACGTGTTCGGGAAGCAGGGCTGGTAACGAGAAGGTGAGAAGGGAACACTGCCTCGTTCCTGCGCGGCCGGCCAGGTACCATTCACACCTTCCTTGTCCCTGGAATCCTTTGCAGGGACATAAAACCTATACTTTTAAAAGAAGTCCACTGACAGGAAACACTGAAGGTGTAGTTAGCACGATGCAGCGTCAGAAAACTCATCGTGAGACGACTTGTGTTGAGACGTGGCCAAGCCATTTTTATAACCCTAGAGAACAGAACTAGTCATCCTCTGTGGTCTGCATTAAAAGAAGAAAAGTTTTTAGAAGCCAGTGTGGCTCAGTTAGTTGAGCATGGACCCATGCACCGAAAGGTCGCTTGTTGGATTCCTGGTCAAGGGCACATGCCTGGGTTGCCAGTTCAATCCCCAGTAGGGGGCGTGCAAGAGGCAGCCCATGGGTGTTTCTCTCCTCCCTTTATCTCTCTTTAAAAACAATAAAAACGTATTTTTAAAAATAAAAGCACTTGCTTCCGGTGACTTCTGACAGCTTATATGCGGACTTGGCAGAGACTGTAAGGCCACCTGTCCAACTTGCCACAGAAGACAGACATTCCGCCACAGAAAACCCTGCAGCCTTGGAGCCTTAGAGCCCTGGGAAATGTGAGACAATCAAGCCAGGACCGACATTCTAAAGGAGACCCTTACCGAACAAGAAAGAATAGAGCCTGCCCTAACCAGTTTGGCTCAGTGGATAGAGTGTCGGCCTGCGGCCTGAAGGGTCCCAGGTTTGATTCCGGTCAAGGGCATGTACCTTGGTGGTGGGCACATCCCCAGTAGGGAGTGTGCAGGAGGCAGCTGATGGATGTTCCTCTCCCATCGATGTTTCTAACTCTCTATCCCTCTCCCTTCCTCTCTGTAAAAAAATCAATAAAATATATTTTTTTAAAAAGGAATAGAGCCAACAATAACTCTGAAAATGACCCGGCCGGTTCTGAAACGTTTCCCAGGAGTTCGGACTGGGGGGGCATTCAATGATATAAACCGGAATCTACGTTCCACAAGAGGAAGCTGACAGCAGTATTTTGGAACAAGAGAGAAGCACTTACTCTTTTTTAAACGAGATTTAACACAGGCCTGAGCTTCCAACTTAAAGCCCTTCACTGTGTCCAACATGCACAGTCACCATTTTAGGTAAAATTCAGTATTTAGTTTTCAATCACTCACTCTGGAGGGTCTGTCCATTGCTTCATGATGATTTTCTAAATATATAACATTGGCATCATCCCACTGTCAACACTCCCTCCCCCAGAGTCTTCGGGAAGAGAAAAGGTCACCCTGGAGAAGCCCGCTGCTCACAAAAGCTGTTGACAGTCCACGGGGCATAGAGCTGGATAAGCAGGACTGTCCCGCCTGAGGTTTCCCGGGAGAGAGAAACCGGGAACAAAGAACTCAGGAAATTACCCCTGAGCCTTGGCCAATTAATAAAGGCAACAACTTGAAAAGAAAGAGGGAGCTGTTTTGAAATGGGGGGGGGGGGGGGGCGGGGGAGTTAAATCTCAATTCCTACAACACCCTATGGTGTTACTTCAAGGTGAAGTGTGCTGTCCTGAGATTTCACGGAGGCTGGAGGTACGGGCATCGCACACAACGCGGTACCATCAGCAGGTGGAGGAAGCGTGGGAGGAAACCATGGGAGACGCCGATTAAAGTGACAGCAAATATACGTTTGGCGTTGGAAGGAGATGGGAAAACTGAGGCCCATGCAATACACGCCAAAAAGTAAAGACATGATATTTTGTTACCCAGAAAGGAAAACAACAAAAGCAGAAACACCCGAGAGAGGAAATACAGTCTGTGAGGCTCTAGCGCCGGGGCCTTCGTGCCCAGCTCAGCTCTCCCGAGGGGCCCGCGGTTCCCGTGCGGACTGCGTGGGCAGAGAAGCGAGCTGGTCCCGGCCCGCGGGAGTCCCCGGTTTCGCGCCGGAGACAGTTACACAACACGCGGATGTGCACGGGGCCGGGTGGGAGGGTCCCAGCCACAACCTCAGGGCAGGAA